AATCAATCGCTCCTTCTATATCTCTTTCGTGTATATACACAATCTTAGCATGCATCTACTTTCTCTCTTCCCCCCTCTCTCTCTCTCTCTCTCTCTCCCTATGGATGCCTCCAGTCCCACCCTGTTTTAGGGAGTAGAGTCTGTTAGAGGCTGAGTGATGTCAGTCTTAAACTCTGTGTGGCAGGATTCAGATGTAACCATCTTGGACAGGAAGAAAGAGGCCCTGCGATGCCTTGCGGTAGTGGTAGGCAGCTTAGATTTGAGGAGGGGGGTGGAGGGGGTGCTCTGATAATGACCTCCCACCTACCATCCAAGTAGACTCCGGCTTACTGAGCTGTGAAATCAGTCAAAGAAAAAAGCTAGAGCTCTTTTGGTTCTAGTGCTTCTGCAGGGAACGATGTTGGACTTGCTCCAAAAGAGATAATACACATAATAATCAGATCACCTTCACCTGTTCCCTTACTTCTTGCTTTTCTTTTGGCTCTTTTATTGCATGTAAAGTTGGGGTAAGGTAACCTTGCCTTGTTGAAGTAGATTCAAGGAAAACAAATCACATAATTTATATACAGATTTAAATACAGTTTGTTTAGAATTTGCATAAGAATTAAAATTCTGAAATTAAACCTTCTTTCATCCTGGCAGGCAACACTTACTGACAACTAATATGATGAAAATAATTAATCTGATCGTTAAAGGGGAATCATTTTTTGCCTTTACTGTATCACTGAGATTAAACAATAATTAGTTCCACAAATGAACATTGGGCACCCTTTACCATCAAAAGACAGTAAGCATGTGTCTTTGATGTGTAAGTGTGTGCATTTGATGTGTAATGTTGCTTAGCTGTGACAAGATGTCTGTCGGGGTGTGCTGTATGTGTGTAGACATTGATTGTATGATCCTCCATCATACAGCAGGCAAACACAACACACATACTCTGACTCACATCTTGGAGACGTCATCAAGGGGGCTCTGCTCTGCTCTGTTCTGTCTTCACTCCCCATTACCCACGCTCCCCTGTTGCCTTATTCACCGATTCACATTGCACACACAAATGACACAGTAGCTCTGTGGGCGAGAGGAACTGAGCCGTGGCTGACTATTTTCTGCAGACCTGTTTTAGAGTTGAGATATGATATGAGCAAGGAGTAAGCGAGTGGCAGGCAGCCAGCACAGCCGTAGTGAGGAGGTGGGATGGTTTGTGGTCTGGTGGGATGGGGAGGAAGTGGGCCACGGTAGTGAAAGAGGCAGTATGTCCAGAGTCCCACAGGAAGACCTTTAGAGAAAAGATTCATCTTCCATGTGTTCAAAAGCAGGTTGAGCAGCTCGACACTCTGGTCATACTAACAGTTGACAGTCCAGTGGCTGAGAAATGCACTGTTTTTAGCCCTCAAATGTTGAGCTACAGTATAACAGTGCCTGCGTCGAAACGGGGAAGTTGTTCATGCCGCCACATAAGCATTTAGAGGAGTTTTCTGACATAACACGAAATCAGGCAGCAGAGTTAGTTCTTGGGTATTTTTGTCTGGGTGCTTCTGTTGCACCCACACAAACATACACTCCAGAGATGAAGCAAGCATTAGTTTCTCTGATAGTGCTGCATTCCAGGACAGCACAGCTGACTGGGGGAGTACAGGAAAGCCAACCAGATGTATATTGGTTTTAAAGATGACTATATATTTCGAAATATAATAATTCTAAAATTATACAAAGAAAGGAAGTCTTTTAGAATAGTTAGCTTGCCCTGCAGTATCATTTTAAAGAGTTATTGTTTTTCCATATTCCACTCAGTGGGGCATCACAGTGTAACAGGCAACCTGAGAGCTCATGTTGCATTAATTGCCTCCCTGGAGTTAAGTTCCTCATGTCATACTGCTTATGGCGTCTAGCGTCAGAGTGTGACAATGGTGACAGGAGGGAGAGCTAGTGTGACATACCACTGCCCTTCAGAGGATGTTGGGGGACTGGTCTCACAGCCTGTCCCATCCTCAGCAGTGTCACCCTTCCATCAGGGGGTGTTTGACCCAGCCAGGGGCAGCCAGTGTCACCACCAAAAGGGATGGGGGAGGTGTGGAGGATTACCAAAATACCCCCATATCACTGCGGCAACAGCAAAAAACAGCAGCAACAGGCAGTCAAGCCTGAAGCACTCAAGCACACACACACACTTAAACAGAAATACTGACATCTCTACCAGGAAAGACCCCAGGGGCTGTGAAAAAATATTGAGAGTACAACAGAAGCGCAGTCGATCAACGGAAAAAATCCGGCTACATGTAGGAAAATACAGAGGAATAGATTTTTAAAAAGGTTATAAAATATATTTTCATGAAATTAGGACTGATAATGATGTTTTGTTTTTATCTTTTTTGGCCCTGGCCTTTGTTATTTATGCATACATTCACAGCACAGATATCATTCACCAGACAAGTGATTAATCCTGTACCTAAAGGTATGATCTTGCATTTAGATTTTACAAATAGAATTCAGTTTCAATATTGTGTGAAAAGATCCCTAACAGACACATTTTGCCTACTGGTTTTGATTGAATGGCTGGAGCCGAAGGTAACATGCATGTTGTCGTACCTGGCTGTCCGGCTAATTGTTACAACATGTTAATGAGACATACGATTACCCTTATACCCTTTGACCCTCTGTGGAAAAAGCACTTCCCTAAAGAAGGTCTGGAAACAATCAGACATGAACAAATATCCCCCTCTTGCTCAGTCTGCTTTTGTCTCCCAGAGATCTTATCATATATACTCAATAACCCAGTCAATATTGAGGTCCATCTGGTTGGTTACAAACAGCAGAGGAGCAAACCAGAGTAGACTGTTTTACAAATAGGCTCGAGTTATTAACTCTAGTTTTCTGTCTCATGAGGCAAAGGAGCAGCCTAGTGAGATTAAAGAGCATGGCATTTGGGTTGAAATGTGATCTCTTGATAATGGCCTCCAGATTTATATCCGACTACAAGCACTATGATGGGTTGGGGCCTGATTAATTTTTGGAGTTGCGTGGTCTGTCTGCCACTAATGTGAAGTGGTTGACAAGTTCTTTTCACTCCTAGTTTACCTCTGTGAAAGAGTTGGAATTATTATCCTCCAGCTGAACCAACAGTACCCTTTTTACCCTTACAGTCTTGGCAAGGGTAGATGCATTACCATGTGCCTGTGGGTTTTGGCACGAGCTCTCACAACAATTGCATGCAAGTATTTCTCAAGGCAGGGAGAAAATGCTTGAATAACTCTATTTTAACACAAACTGAGCAACCCTTGTGACCTGGGTGGTCCCATCCTCATTAGGCCACAGCACACCATCTGCAGTAAGACCAGCAAAGGTACAGAACTTCCAAAAGGTATTTTCATCCACATTAAAGCATGATTTTTTTTTGTATGTATTCCCTTTTTTTCCATCTCTGGAGAATGACAGATTTGTAAATTATGTTATTGTGTAGGGAAATTAGATAGAGGTCATAAAACAAGGGCAAAACCGGAGAGCGATAATCATGTCATGTCTTCGACTTTGCATCAAGTGGCGCTCATCAATTGTGATGAGGTGCCTGGCATCATCTGCCTCTAACCGTCAGGTGGAAGATTGATGGCCCTGAGGTGTTTCACTCTGGCTAGAGTTGAACCATGGTCTGGGGAGATCCATCAGAACTGCACAGGCAGGTCTTTGGGGGAAGACATACTCATTCCTCCATGGCCCTGGGCTCCTTTGCCCTTTCTAGCTTTCTTTCTTCAAACAAAAAAATATCATCTGACATAGGCAAGGATGAATATAATAGTTGGCTTTGGTTATGTTTATTTTATGTTGGAGTTTAAACAATGACAGTCTTAAAGGCTTTGTGTCTAGAATCTTTAATATGTAACAGTAATTTGTGGATTGCTTTAGTTTTGATTTTAATATACTGTTCTCTTTTATATGCATTATTCATCAAGCACACTTTCCAAGCCCTCAACCAGGCCATCTGCATTCTGGCTGTCTAGCTAACCACATCCGTGTGGAAATAGGACAGCACTGTCTGTCTTCTTTCTGCCAGCTAGGCTCATGACCTAAAAGCTGCAAAAGTTCAGCCATGTCATGGCAGGTGGTGTGTGGAGCCTTTTTGCTACTTTTGCAAGTTTGAATTTTTCCTTGGTTGTAGAGAGAGAGCTTTAACAAAAATAATAATGTTTTTGGACACAAAATGTATTTATGAAAGGTTGCCCACAAGATGAATGTTTAACTGCATCTCATTTGCAGTTATAAAGTCATTTTAACCAATTTTAAAGCCCCTAACTTTGTTGTTTGTTAGATGAAACCATTGTGACTTGAGCCAACCCGAAATCGTATTTCCAGTTTTGCACCCTATCATTACAGCCGGCAGTCCTGGTTTAAAAAGAAACAGATCTCATGCGGCATGCATTACAGTACATTACGATTCGTCTCAAGGGAAACCCCAGAAGTTTGTCTGCCTTCACGTTATAAGATTTAAAATATGAGCAGAATAATTATATAAGGAGCTGTGCATTTTAAATAAGCATGTAATTATCTCTGATGATATTGGCCATAAAAAAAAGTATGGATTGTTTTTACCATTTTAACCATCAAATGTCAAAGAAGACCCTGCATGGTGCATATCCACCACTGTGTCCCATCTCCATAAAAATGGGTCCCAGCATGTTGGCTCATTGCCGGGGAGAAAAGAAAGCTTTGCACTAAGCAGTGAATAACTGGCTGTCTGTCATATTTGTTCTTTCAGCAGTTCAGCACAGTTTACTGTCCATTTATACGTTTTAGCAGCACAACAGCTTGTGTTTCAGGATTCAATGTGCATATATCTATCTAGGTGTAAAGCCACTCTGTAATGAAAGGGCAAACTTCTCCTTTTGTCTCCTTTTCTATACATTATAATATCATTGTAGTATTCATTGCTGTTCCCTGAATTCAGATACAAAGTGTAACCAAGACATTATTCTCTACCCCAACCCTCCCCCACCCTTTTCTGTTTCTAGGATGGTTCCAAACAGAGGCAGGTGAGGAAGAAAACCGTGTCCTTCAGCTCAATGCCAAGTGACCGCAAAATCAACAGCACAGCTGCTTGCATGGCGTTCATGATGGAGGGTTGTGAAATGAAGAAGGTGCGTTCCAATTCACGCATGTACAACCGCTACTTCCTGCTGGATCCAGACATGCACTGGCTTCGTTGGGAGCCATCTAAGAAGGATTCAGAGAAGGCTAAACTGGAAATCAAGGGCATTAAGGAGGTCCGTTTGGGAAAGAAAACGCCAGTTCTGCGCAGCAATGGTCTCTCAGATCAGTTCCCTGATGAATGCGCCTTCTCAATAATCTATGGGGATAATTATGAGTCCTTAGATTTGGTAGCCAGTACAGCAGATGTTGTCAGCACCTGGGTGATGGGCCTGAGGTATCTGGTGTCTTATGGCCGGCACACCGTGGACATGATGGAACCCAGCCAACCAAGTCTACGAACATCTTGGATTGGCTCAGTGTTTGAGCTAGCAGATATGGAAAAGGAAGGACACATAGACCTGTTCAGAGCCACCCAGATAATCAAGGGGCTCAACCCTGGAATGAAAGAGTCTAGGATAGAGCTGAAGTTCAAGGAACTCCAAAAAGCTAAAGACCAATACGGAGAGGCAATTAACATGGACACCTTTGTGGAGGCCTACTGTGAGCTCTGCACACGGCCAGAGATTTTCTTCCTTCTGGTCCAGTTCTCCAGTAACAAGGAGTATCTGGACAGTAAAGATCTGATGCTATTCGTAGAGGTGGAGCAGGGTGTGGAAGGTGTAACGGAGGACATGTGCAGGGATATTGTTCAGAAATTTGAGCCATCTGCTGAAGGCAGAGAGAGGGGCTACCTCTCCATCGATGGCTTTACACACTACCTCCTCTCCTCTGAATGCCACATCTTTGACCCCCAGCACAAACGCGTGTGCCAGGATATGAACCAGCCTCTGTCCCACTATTACATTAACTCGTCACATAATGCCTCCCTTCTGGAAGATCATTTTTGGGGTTCGTCAGACATCAGCAGCTATATCCGAGCTCTTAGGATGGGCTGTCGCAGCATTGAAGTTATTGTATGGGATGGCCCTGATAATGAACCAGTCGTGTATGTAGGTAGTTCTGTAGCCTCACATCTAGCTTTTTCGAAAGTCCTGGACATTATAAACCAATATGCTTTTGAGAGCTCTGAGTATCCCCTGATTCTCTGCTTAGTGACCCACTGCTGCATCCACCAGCAGAGGGTCATGGCACAGCACATGAAGAAGATTCTTGGGGACAAGCTGTACATTGATTCCCCAAACAAGGAAGAAAACTACCTACCATCCCCTGAGAAACTCAAAGGTAAAATCCTCCTCAAGGGTAAGAGGCTACCGCCCAGCTGCACTGACGCTGAAGGAGATGTGACGGATGAGGAGGAGGGTCTGGAAATGTCCCGAAGAGTAGGAGCTGATGAGAAGGACCAGCTAAATGGCTTAGGCTACAAGAGACTCAGACTGTGCAGGGAGCTCTCTGATCTTGTATCTCTCTGCAAGTCAGTCCAGTTTAGGGACTTTGAAATCTCTAAGAGGGACCAAAAATACTGGGAGATCTGCTCCTTCAATGAGGTAGATGCAAACAGGTTTGCCAATGAGTTCCCAGAGGAATTTGTTTGTTATAACAAGCGCTTTCTCTCCAGGGTATATCCCACACCTATGAGAATTGATGCCAGCAACATGAACCCCCAGGATTTCTGGAAATGTGGCTGCCAGATTGTAGCCATGAACTACCAGACGCCAGGCCTGATGATGGACCTCAACTTAGGCTGGTTCAGGCAGAACGGCAACTGTGGGTATGTTTTGCGGCCAGCCATCATGAGGGAGGAGGTGTCCTACTTCAGTGCCAACGCTCGGGACTCCTTGCCAGGAGTATCTGCCCAGCTTCTTCACATCAAAGTCATCAGTGGGCAGAACCTGCCCAAACCTCGTGGCTCTGCTGCTAAGGGTGATGTGGTGGAGCCCTACATATATGTGGAGATCCACGGCATCCCAGCTGACTGTGCCGAACAAAGAACCAAGACTGTTTCCCAGAATGGTGACAACCCAATTTTTGATGAGAGTTTTGAATTCCAGATCAATTTACCGGAACTTGCAGTACTGCGCTTTGTGGTGCTGGATGACGACTATATTGGAGACGAGTTCATTGGCCAGTACACCATCCCATTTGAGTGCCTACAGCCAGGCTATAGACATGTCCCCCTACAATCTCTGACAGGAGAGTTCCTACCTAATACCACCCTGTTTGTCCATGTAGCCATCACCAACAGGCGGGGTGGAGGAAAGGCACATAAGAGGGGTCTGTCTGTCAGGAAGGGTAGGAGGGCCCGGGAGTACACCACCACCAAGACCACAGGGATCAAGGTAGTGGACGAGCTCTTCAGAGCTTCTACCCAGCCCCTCAGGGAGGCCACAGACCTCAGAGAAAATGTGCAGGTAAGAACCTACATACTATATATTTATAAAGAATGATCACAAAAAATTACCATTATTAAGAGTGGCACATTGGGTTGTGCAGAGCAGGGCTTTGACAAAACATGACAGTACTTTCTTTAATGCGATTAACATCTTCAACTGCTGAAGCTTTGCTGGAGATACTCAGGTCCTAATCCAACATTTCTAAGTCTTTGCAGATTCAGTAGATGTTTTGGGAAAGTTTTATACAAAAAAACTCATAGTAAGTAAAATACTAGAATTACAACTGATGCTACAATAAAAAGCAGTTTATTTAAGTACCAAATTAAAATGCGGTGGTAATTTAAGAGCACTGGAAATCATCTTACTGTAATTTTACATTTTAAAGTATTTTGTGTGACCAATGAAGTTTTGGTATAAACTAGGGTAAAAAAAGCAGGATCATCTAAATCATCAATGTTCATGCTCTGCAGACCCTGAATATGCTTAGCAATCCATATGGTATTCTGAATATTAATATATATTATTATGTTGCTGTTACGACCCGGCTCGTGGGGGAGAGGGAAGCAACATGAACCAGAATGTTTTTGGTAAAATTGCAAGTATTTATTTGCAGGGTTCACAAGAAAAACAGGAAAAGGGCTGTTGGATGCTGCTTAACTCAAAGAAACAAATACAACTTAAAGAGGTCTCTCCAAAATGAGAGATAGCCACTGACTACTTCAAAATCAAATTAAACAAAACTCTGACCCGTCATCAATAATCAAAAATACAAAGTAAGCAGCACCCTCTAAAACCTATTGTGTCTAACATAAAATCAATCTACAGGTGTCCGGTGTGTGTCAGTTACCCCCACCTAGATCCTTGCCCAATTTCCTTACCACAGTTCAAATTAAGGCAACACAGGAGACACTAGGATCTTATACTTAAACTAAGGCTCTTACAGAAGTTAACACATTTACAACAGTAGAGCACAATACACACAGGCGAGTTGATCAAGGGCACAATCACAACTCCCCATTCAACAGGTAGGCAGCTATTTAAATAGAGGAAGGCGGTAGATGATTGGAGGGATTGCCAGACGCCGCACCAATCAGATCACCGGCTGGAACCAGGAAGTAGGCAGGTCTCGCGCCAGCCAATCCCCGGCAAGGGATCACACATCCTGCTTAACATGACACAGCTGCACAACACAGCTACACATCTCCAGATAATGGAGGTGGCCGTAACAGTTGCACTACATTTGGAATAGGAAAGAATTCACTAACTTTCATGGATATCTGCTGCAGACTGGGTTTTAAGTTAGGACATGAAAAGGCAGAGAAGCCTTTTCTACCAAATAAAACAGCATAACTTTTTTATGGCTTCAGTAGGTCCAAACTAATGTAAGTGTTCTGATTAGACTCATTTCATTTGCTGTTGTGGATAGAGGCTTGACGCTAATTATGTTCTATTAATGTTGAAGAAGAGAATGGTAATAAAGTGACATCGTTGTGATGAGCTTTATGAATAGTGTAATCATTAATGAGGGACAATTACTGCTCAGGGGAGAGGACTGGGTTGCTAGACACTTAAAATTTAAAACTCCTCTTGATGAACAAATGAACATTAGTAACCACAGTGCATATTTGGCTTATGAGCAGTTGAAGAAGCGTTTCAGTGCATTTATAATTTTGTTTATGTTGACTGAAGGGTGTGACACAAAGCATTTTTTCTGACTTGCACAGTCTACAAATACAACACAGAGCCTTTCGCATGCCATGTGTTATGATGTTTTCAGTTTAGAGTTTCATGGTCTCTGAAAGCTAGCGGAGAGTGAGAACATTTTTGCTAAGTTAAAGAAAAAAGTGTGTTGACTTTGCATTACCAAAAATTTGCATGACCTAAAACTCCTTATCCCACCTTTAAGTAGTATTTTATTGTGCTTCAAGTGCATTGACAACCAAGTTACCAAACAAAATTACTTATGTACTTGATTACCATACATAGTTAAAAAAAAAGTCAACTCTCATAATGCAATAAATAATAAAATCAGAAATGCCGCACATGTAAAAACAAAAGTACTATGAAATCAGAAAATAAGAATCATGCACAAAAACAGTGACAGTGGCTGTAAAATGCTGAAAAGGAGTGATCATTATTTTTTGCATACAAGTCTAATTAAAACTAATACTGGAAGTGTAAATAATTAATTTGACACAGTTGAGCAGATGAGGAAAAAAAACAACGTGCTCTCTCACTACTCAGATTGTCCTTTGATTAGCTCATTAGTCATATTTTCCAAAAATAACAAAAAAGTCTTCTGGCTTTCCCATCACCTGTCTTAACTAAAAAATGTGGTAGTTGACAAATCGCTGTTTATCTTTTCTGATATCCACCAGTAATTTGTCAACTTGTGCATGAGTTGCCAATGTGGAAGAATGTAGGCTTAACAAAATCAAGTATATAATATTGATCTATCGTATAAGAAGACAAAAAATTAGACTCATGTACACCGATCAGCCCCATATGCAACAAACTGCAATGCACTGTGCGTTCTGACACCTTTCTATCAGAACCAGCATTAGCTGTTTTAGCAGTTGCTCAAATCCTCAAACTGCCCATTTTTCCTACTTCTAACACATCAACTTTGAGGACAAAATGTTCACTTGCTGCCTAATATATCCCATCCACTGACAGGTGCCATGATAATGAGATAAGCAGTGTTATTCACATCACCTGTCATTGCTCATAATGTTATGGCTGATCTGTGTATGTTTGTCCAGAAGCTAATGTAGCATGCTCCTTTATACATATCCAAGTCATAAATACTAAGATCTGTCCATCTGTCTTTGGAAAGCAGTAACCTCAGTCTAATGGCACAGCAAACAAAAGACTATACAAAACTAAATAAGCAGAGATGTGATTAGAGATCCTGTGGCATGCTATCATGCATCTTTCAGTTGTTGATATAAATATGTTCTGAAAGGGGACATCATTTTCCTCTCCAAGACCCCAATAGAGAGAGAATAATGTTTGTGTTTGAGAGGTCAACTTAATTCTGTCGTTTTAGAGGTAATAACATTAGCGAATTACAGCCTGAATGGCATAAGATGAAGGTAATTTCAGGAACATTGGAATTAAAAGGGTGGAAAGGAACTGTAGTCAATTACTGTACTTAAATATAATTTCGAAGTACTTGTACTTTATTTGATTATTATTATTATTATTCTGCTACTTATACATACATATTTTTACTCCGCTACATTTATTTTACAGCTTTAGATAGTTTGCAGATTCAGATAATTAATAATACTGATTTTATTAAGATAATGTATTGATCCCTGTGATGAAATTCACAAACCACAGTATATAAAGCATTTTTTTACTTTACCAGCTGCAACATTAAAGTGACAATCACATTGATGCATCAATTATTACAATCCAGTTGATGAATATATATTATTTTGAAATGGGCCGTACTGCCTAATGAGTAGGCTACTTATACTTTCAGTAATTATTGATATTTTGATGCTTATACCTTTGTACTTGTAAAGTAAGATTTTGAATGCAGGACATTTACTTGTAACATATTTCGACACTGTGGTATTGCTACTTTTAAGTAAATGATCCTTCCACATCTGACAGTTAATGAACAATGCTGACAAATAAGTGTCACCTCACTTGTCAAAGGATTATGATTTCTAAGTGTTGCTTGATTGAATAATCTTAATTAGTGACAAATGGATACATCAGCAGTTTGTCATGTTTAGGTCCTAATCTTGGTTGTGAGTCAACATGGGAGTATTTCATAAATAAGACATGAAATATGGCTCACTGTGAATTTAGCCCTGTAAATCTGACACAGACACATCAAACACACTCTAATCAGCTAACTTATGTTAAATAATATGGAAATAATCAGAGGCATGCCATATGCCACTCTTCTCTGTTCTGTAGTTTGATTCATCTCTAATAACAAATGGCTTCAGCTCTGTAATCTATAGATTTCCATGAAAAGTGGCAGTATACGATTGGATGTGAATCGGTGTCTTTTAACCTGATCAAACGATACTTGCGCCACTACCGCTCCCCAAATCACAACATCCCCAGGTTTGAAATGTAAATTCTTCTTTTGAAATGAAGAGATAAAAGTTGATCAAATAAATTAGAGAGGTGAAGTTGAGAGGAAGGCTTTAGAGGAGGATAAATGAAGGTGTATTTGGATTAAGGCCTTTGCCTTTTAAATGTAAAAAATGAACAGTTGTGAAAGCTTTGTGGAGGCCAGCTGTGTTGAGCCTGGTGCTTTGGATCTACCGGGAGCTGCAAGGCAGAAACAGGGCCTGTGGCCAACAACCCACAAGACAACAACCAGGCCAGCTCTGGAAGCTTCGCCACCCCCTGACTTGAAGCCAAGATTAAATGAAATATCTTTTGAACTCACTAAAATCCCAGACATCATGGCATACAACCATAGCCTAAAAAGCAGGGCACACGCACATTTTAGATGTCGCCTTCAAAAGCGTTATTTCACCTCACCAAGTTCTTTTATGACTCCTTTTATCCTCAAATAGCAAGACTTGCAGGTGGTCTGCTTTGAATAAATAACAGTGTGTTTCACTATTATATAAATTATAATAGACTGGGGCCATCCATGAACATTGAACATTGGGCAGATACATGGCAATTTATCTGCCATGTTTCATATGTGGATCTAGGCAGCAAATCAATTATTTCTGTGGGAGACTTGAATGAAGTCCTTTCTGGAGTGCGACTGCCCATGAATAAGGTTCATCAAAGTGCTGATGGAGCTAGAGGAGAGCTGTCAGCCCAGAGTTTCTTTTTATTTGCCAGAGAGAAGAGGAGGGAGATACACCCAGTTAGAATCAGAAAAGAGAGAGGGGAGCAAACAGAAACAAAAGCAGTGTTGTAACCGGACACAGAGCTCTCATTTGGGGAATGTTGGAAGGGGAGGGAAGTGGGGGAAGGGAGTAATTAAAAACACAAGCCTCTCATTGGGGTTTTTTAACACCAAGGCTTGGAAACGGTATGTCTTTTATTGCAAAACAATTATCGAAAAATATTCACGCATGTGGTCCCAAACACACATGGGCACATGGAATTATACAAAGCATAATGAATGCTAATGAGTTCTGCACAGACCACACTGAGACGGAAACACATGCAGTCACACATGCTCATAGTTCACACACGCACACATTATCACACACCGGGTTTTAATCCAGAGAGCCAGAGCTGTCCCGCTTCCACAATTGTGTTTCTCCGTCTCTGAGCTCAGTGGCCCAGGAGGCGTTAACTGTGGCTGAGGCTCTGCATACAGATTCAGATCCAGATAGCGACTTTGTCCCCCTGGCCACCTTCTCTGTCTACGGGAAGGTCGGGCCCCAGTGACAGCACATCCTCTGGGGTAGGGGGTGATGGGGTGGATTTTTCTGCAGGCCTGGAGGTCTAGCCCAGGGAGACAGCTGGTTCCCACATTGCAGATTGTGTGGACGGACTCCCAAATACCAACACTTGTTGGCTTGTTCTCTTAAATTGTTTTTTTCCCCCTCTCCTATTCAGCCCCTGGTTTTCCCTGCATCTCTAATTCTCTCCCACGCTCTCTTACCTGACTTGTGTCTCCCCAATGCTTCTCATCACCGCCCTCACTCTTCATGTCTCCCACTTGGTTGTTGTGCTTCAGCTTAGACTGCTCTTTTTCACTGTCCCTCTCTATTCTCTTACCAATCCTCGGTCTGTCACACTTGTCACGTTGATGTTGTGTCGTGTGAAAAACAGTGAACCTGATTTGGTTGCTTAAATTCCTCATGCTGGAATTTAACACTTAAGAGAGGTAGTTGCAGACGCAGAAAGCCTGGCTTCAGTGGACTGGAAAGCAGGCTGCACCAGGATATATGAAGTGTGAGCAACAGAGAGAAAGTGAGGCTTCTTAAATTCATTTTAATTCATTTTAATACTAACGAAGCTGCAGCTGCCCCTATACTGATTTGCTATCATTACTAGATTAAATAAAGAAGACATGTTGAGATAGGGATTTTGCAGAGAGTTAAAATATCCAGTGGTCCCTGTAGGGACAGGAACATAGGGAGAGGAATGCTTTGGTAGTTACATAATGTTTGATCATTTTAAGCTGGATATTTTCAGTGACAGAAGAAAGACAAATACAGAGTTATGTATAGGAAAAAAAAGCAATAGAAAAATTTGAGAAATTAAGGAGAAGGAGATATTAAGAAAGAGAGGGATGAGTATCTGAATGTACTCGGGCTCAGGCTGTGGTCAGAGGTTCTGCTCCAGAGCCTCTGGGTTGTTGAATGAGCAGACTGACGTTATGGGAAAACGATAATTTTACTGTCACCAAGACAAACACTCGCTGCTATCTTATCTTGTTTCTGGTCTGAGGGGAATATCGCGATCCCCCTCATTAAATCTCCTCGCTCAAGGTCATCTGCAATAAGTGCTAGCAATACTTGCCATTCCATTAGAAGCACAATCACCTCCTTTGCCAAGTACAATAAGTCTACAGGAATTTGCCTTAGTTGGTTATAGTTGCTTTGGTTGGTTTAATTAAGACAGAAACAAAATGTAGTGACAGCTGAGAGGTTCAGCACACGGACAATGTGATGTCCTCACATACAAAATATTTATGTGTATTTATTCACACTGGAATGTTTAACGCTTTGCTTTTTCCCAAAACAACTTAAAATCAGTGAACATTTATTTTATGAAAACAAAGCTGATTCAAATGTGGCATACAGAGTTGGTTCTTTTTATTTATGCCTTTTTTTACATGTCCATACCCTTCATTGTGGGTGTTTTCTTCCCAGAATGCCATGGTGTCCTTCAAGGAGCTCTGTGGCCTGACCCCGGCTGCCAACATGAAGCAGTGCATCCTGACGGTGTCTACCTGGCTGATGAACAGTGAGCGCTCTCTGAGAGTGACAGTGGACCTGAGCGAGACTTACCCCACCATGGAAGCTCAGGGACCTGTGCCTGAGCTGCTACGCAAAGTGCTCAACGCCTACGACATGGTAAATAACCCAGACACACATCTCACTAAATATCTACTTTAGGTAAAGATAAAATGTCAAAGCACTCTGGCATTTAAGTATGATAACAGAAGAGGCACTGAGATCTTCATAGGTGCTGCGCCTACCAAAATAAAACTCAAAAAATGCTCCCTTAATGCTAGTTTGCTTATCATTTGATTCAAGCATTCCCACAGCTGGGTGTGTTTTACCAGGCTTTTAACCGTGGCTAAAACCAACTATTTGACCAGTCAGATTGTCGAGCTGAAGCTACTCATTGTATAATTTCCCATGTCCTTCTCCATCCTGCCTCCTCTCTTACATGAACACTGCATTTTTCACCACTTGACATTGGCACAGCCCAAAACGGGGTTGGAGGACTCTGTCTGTAATTAGTTATCACCCGCTGTTTTTCTCTCCTCCTCCTCCTCCTCCTCCACTCCTGTGAGGTTTGGTGGGAGCTGGTGAAATGGGTCATGAGTGAGGAGCACAGTTGTTGTGTCCACGCTGCTCAGCTCAACAGCACTCCTGCTGCTGACGCCTACAGGACACTGACATCAGGACCGACACAGTGATCAGATCCAAACAGAATCTGATTTGGCTTTTATGAGGCTTCGCACCAGGCAGGAGGCTTGGCACTGTCAGAGCAACTCTCACGCTCCAGTCCACAAAAAAAGTTTTATGGGGACAAGCAGGAGTGCAGGCCCAAAATCCATAGAGTTTTAGAGATTGTATCATGCATTCCCAGGCCTTTAACACCCAAAATGTATATTATTTGTTACTTTATTAATAAGAATAATTAGAATTGTTTGTTTTTTTGAGGCAAAAAGGACATTACAATGATCAACAACACGCTAGTAAAATTCTATTTATATTTAAAATGTATTATAGGTCCCATCACTATCCCCCCAGTCTGTCAATGTCCCAGCACATTAAAATTCTCCTGTAAATTGAAAGTTTTCAGATCTACGTACTGTACATTAACCTATGGCCTCGCCCCGAGGCTTGTGCCTGGTCAGCAGAGTATTTGTGTTTGCTTCCCAAAGACTGGTCGGTTGGTACATTCCCCACTCAAGAACAGAGGCCCCAGTGTGTGTGTGTGTGTGTGTGTGTGTGTGTGTGTGTGTGTGCGAGCACATGTGTGTAAATGCATGGCTGCCAACACCAGGCCATTTACTGTAGGATATCAGTGTGCACTGCGTGTCCTCAGTCACCCCCATGTGGGCTGCAGCCAGCCAGCGTTGTAACCCTGAGCTGAACAAACGTCAGCACATTGGAACTGTATTCCAGAGGTCAGGCCACTCATATACACACATATACTGTATATTCACACAGATGTGTGTACAGTGCAGCTAAAATGACACCTAGAGAAAAAAATAGTCATCTCTATAAAGCGCTAATGTTGGTTCAATGAGATTCACAGCTAGGATCTTCCGGATCTTTTTACAGTCAGCATTTTCACACTCAACATTTTCACAGAAAGGGGGGGTGCCCAGATAGCCCACCTGGTAAAGCTTTCACCCCATGTACCAAGACTGAGTCCTTGCTGCAGAGGCCATGGGTTTGACACGTGGCCCTTTGCTGTGTGTCATAACATCTCTCTCTTCAACCTTTCCTTTCAGTCTTCAGCTGTCACTGTCAATTAAAGGCAATAAAGTATGGAGTTAGAATCATGCCAAAACCTCACACACACACAAAACATGTTTTACTCATGCCCAACGATTCACAAACAAACTCAGTGAGGTTTGCAAATACTAAACATCATTCACAAACTAATGCATTTTGTTTTGTAAATAAGAAACGTACCTATCAAACAAATACATCGAGAGGTTTTGGTATGATTAACTAGTAACTCCATAATAAAGGCCCCAAAAAATATGTTAACAAAAAACAGTGACCCAGAAAGAGCTCTACCACAGACCACTGCCTGCAGAGGTGCTACTTTCATGACCAGAATGTAGTGTAGACGTGTTACATGCAACTCTTGCTTGTCACTATTTGCTCTCCGTCTTACTTTCACTATTGTTAACTCTCACCTACATATGTACTAGAGATCAAACATTCTGCATATTTTAAATTTTTTTTAATGATTAAATCATCCCCCGAAGGACTGTCCAAATGAGCTCACTGCACTCAAAACAGCTCTCATAAAATAACAAAACAAGAAAAGACATGCACATGCACATACACACAGTGTGAGAGTCCACTTCCTTTCTCCCTGCTAACAGGAGTGTGAAACTTCATTAGCTTCCTCCTCAGTGCTGCAGGGCTGGTCCAGCTGCTCCTCCTCAGCCTCTGGGATGAGATTTAGGGCTCAAACTACACAGAATTGTGATTGAAAATTGAAGTTGCATCTCTGCCACTGTTGGTATCCTTGTGGTACCCATACACATGTGATTTTAATGCAGATATTCAGAGTAAGAATCAACTATATATGCCAAGTATGTAGACATATATAAGGAATGTGACTCAGGTTCTCAGTAGTTTTCATTGTACTTACAAACTGTGCAGAGAATGAATTTAAAGGGGGATACAAACCTGATACAAATATAAACAAACTTAAACATACAGCTGTTATACACAGACGAGACAAAACAATCTATATACAAGTCAGATTGTGAATGAACCATAGACTGTATGTGCATGGTTGTGGTACAAGTAGTACAAGAGTGCAGGTAGTGCAAAGAATACTGGAATAAATATTGTATGAATAACAGCGCTGCAACAATTATTTCATTATCAATCAATCTGCCAATTACTTGCTCAATTAATCGGTTTGTCTATAAAACATCAGAAAACATGTCAGGCATGTCCAGCACAATATCCTGGAGCACAACTCACAGTTGAAGCTCTAATGAACTAAAAGTAACTTCAAAAACAGAGGTGGCTTTATGTGCATATATTGAGAGAGTACAGTTTATATAGTTTATTATAATTGATGAGACTAAAAAGGGAAGACAGGTCCTGTCTAAGCTTTTAAATGGTTTGGAAAGAAAATCCTAAGGCCTGATTTGCTTTTTTGCAAAACACTGGATTTATTAGGCGGTAATACCAAACAGCATGCTTACAATTAAGTTTTTCTCATGAATTTGTTATAGCTTCTCTTGTACTTACATACGAGGCAAAATAAATATGTTGTTACACACCCAATTAATTGGAAAGAATCTGCTTCCTCTGATTATGATCTTACCCCAATTAAAGTAATCAGATAAAGACATTTACATGACAGCTATGCTGCCTTAATTGGGTTAAGGCGGAATTGTTAGTGTGCCGGTAAACATAGCAGCTAAGATCTCAAATCCAATTCAGAATGAGCCCTGGCAGTTGTGGGGACTTTTTATATACAGTATATACAATAACCCCCCGTTGCTGGGCTGGGATGTGATTAAAATTAACTACATGTCTTCTGTGTGTGTTCTAGATGATCCAAACCAGCAGAACGCTGATTGAGTCAGCTGACGTCGTCTACTCCAAGCTCACACAAGCACAACGGGCAGGTATGCTGCATTATGGGATAAGCAGAGTCCTCAGCTGCAACATCCCTGTTCACCCTCTACATTTTCTACACTGCAGAACATGTTGATCCCAAGTGGATGAGCAATACAAGTTGACATTGTGTTTACCTGAGAAATAGTAAAATATTGTCTTGAGAAGATTCCTGTTTTTTCAAATGAACATTCTCTTCGTTGTACGAGGTAGATCTCTCTGCTACCGTGAGGAAAATGACTCACAATTCAAGGACAAGGACAATTCAGACACAAATGAAATTGCCTCACCTACTGGCATATTTATAAAATATATTATATTATAAAAAATAAGATCAGAAGGCACAAAGCCAAAATGAAGTCATTTAGGGAGATACATATTTTCAGCTCTTCTGCTTTTCAATCCAAATGAATGAAATGAAATGAAATATGTGAAGCCTTCAAGCATATTATGTGTTGTGTCTGCATACTGTATCTGCTGCTACAGCATCTCTATCAACATCAACACCATCAGCAGTGGCTGCTGTTGACAGAGCAGGCCATCATCAGTGAGTCACCACTGAGTAGTTATCATGTCAGTGGGCAGGTGAAAACAATCAGCCAGCCACGCAGACAAAGGGCTACAGGAGAAAGAGGACAAAGAGCATAAACATCATTCGAGAGGAAGAGAGAAATGAAAAGGTTTGACTGAGTGTGGAGTGAGAGAAGGAGGGATGGCAAAAACTGAGAGAAAAGGATGGAAGTGAAGAAGCATTTCATCAGTACAGCGTTTGTAAAAAGGGTGCTTGATGTAAGAGGTCCGGCCTTTTAGAGGAGAGGATAAAATTGACCATAATAAGATCATTAGGAGAGAAATGGCTTCAAATCAAGAAATCCTGTGGCTTGTCTTCTCCAGGCTCTTTTACATTCAGCACTAATTGTTCCTCATTTGCCTTGCTTCTCTACTACGCAGCAGTGCCTCTGCTGAAGAGCTCCTCAAACAGGAGGACATAGTTTGAATACTGAGATCTTCATTTTGCATGTTTATACCTCACATTCTAGTGCTGTAGGCAACCAAAGACTGAACTCAAGCAGTTGTGAAACCTACAGATTCAGGCCTGTTATAGAGCTCATAATAGCTTGTGTAAACATGAAAAGCCATTTTTAGTTTGTGTTTTGTTGTTGTGTGTTTTGTGTATGATAAATCCAAAGTAGACAGGGAATGATCACTCACTGGCACATGCCAACCCAATATCCTGAGGCCAATAAGCCAATTTAAGCCTGCTATTCCCAGCTTTACTCCCTGGTGTCACACAGAGGCAGGCACATGCTTTACTCTCCATACCACAACAAGCCAAGCTGATATTCGTGCTGTGCAATTACCCAGGGATGTAAGTTGAACGCTGAGGCTTCAATCACAGAATTGTCCCCTGGCTCCGAGGTTCCCCAGCCCAGAGCTGGAAGCATCTTCAAAGGCGATGACTGCAGAGTTAAGCAGAGCTTAAACCCCACACAGCCATGGCCACACTCACAGCAGTGTCGGTAGCTGGATACCGGAGGCTGATGCTCAGATTACCGCTGCTGTCAGGTGAAAACCTTATACTTCCAAAATGTCAAATGTTCAGGAGCTACAGTAAGAAAATCAACTTTGTTTCGTGCCTCACAAGCATTCTTGTTTAAATTAATTTAATTAATTAATTTTGAAAGGGCCTCAAAAGGGTTGAAGCATTTTCTCAAGCAGCATGTAATCCTTAAAATCCGACTTAAGTGAAAACACGGAAATTCCTAAATTTGGAGTTACAGGGTTTTCACGCAATTGCAGCATTATGTAAGTACGATACAATGAGGCAGAGGGTTGGAGCGACAACCCTGAGGGGCCTCAGCTGCATGCCAAACATAGCACTTTCCCTATCGCCCACTTCCCTGCCCCCAGCACTAACACACATGCCTCAATCCAAACCCCTTCCATTCTTAAATGTACATAACTGCCGTGTCTGTTCATTCATGCTTCCAGACATTCGTTGTAGTTGTAGTTTTGAGACTGAAAAAATTATAGGAAAACTGTAATGCCCAAATAGCTAACAGCTTTTTCTCTGACATAATTTGGCTTTCCAGCATTCTGTCAGAGAAACAGATGCCCCAACACTTTTTACCGAAATCCAATTAATTTCAAAAAAGAGTGATATAATGTAACCTATTGCCTCAAATCAAAATTGGCAAATAGCAATTCTAAACTTTAAATAATATGTAACCTTGTTGGCCTGAGGGCATAGAAAGTAACTCCGTAGCTCAGAATACATAACTGATTGAGTCTAACAGAAATATGTCCTCAAAATATTTAACTATATTTTAAGGTTTATGCAGAATTCCTCTCAGAAATTGTTATAATATTGCTTTATTTGTTACTATTACATAACAGTTACTTCTACATTAACACATGCAAACACAAGGTATGAAATATCTATTTATGATTACAGAAGAACATTTGCTTGAATATCAACTATTTCAAGGAAATTATGATGTGTTTATACTCCCTCCTCCGTAAGTCAACATTTTTAGATCTGGTGTAATAATCTCCCCACTGCGTTAAATAAACGAATTACTTTCTGATATTAATGCAGACACTTGTGTCTCACTCCTCCTCTCAGAGTGCTCTTTGTCCTCTCCATCTGCATCCTGACTCATCAGGTCCTTATTGTCTGTACATCCGCTGCTGCTTTTGCTCACATATATGCAGGATTCTTTCATAATGGTCTGTCACATGTAGTTTTAACTGTATGGTTTAGTGCAAATGAAAAATGAAATACATTTATATGGTGATTGTATTACATTAAAGTCTACTAATAAGGAGAAGTAGATTGATTGTGAAAGGAATTGCACTGTTCACTGTGAAACTGCACTAAAATGTGCTTGATCTTGACATTCATAATGCTTAATATGTGACAAATAGAAAGGTTAAGAGGGCTGAGCTAAGCTACTTCAATTTAATTTTACAATCAAAGTCAGTGATCTAATGAAATACCTCACAGATACACCTGTCTCATTGCGTAAATGCAACAACGCAATCCCCATTGTCTTGTTTAGCCTGTGTCTGTGTTCATTATAAGTATAAAAAGCGTGTAGGACATTGGAATGAAATCCTGACTCCCGAACAATATGCCGCATCTTTCTGATGGCTGGGAAAGCAAAGCATAGATTTACCTCTTTTGATAGACTGACAGGCACTGAATGCACCCTTCAGAAGCCGTCCAATAAGCCATATGATTATGTACAGACTGACGATGACAATAGCAACAGCCTGAACACAGACAGAGAATCAGAGAGTGGAGGCATACGAAAAGCGAGATGGTGGATTTTTATGGAATTCAAGGTTTTGTCCCTATGATCGATCCGGAAGCCAAAGGTATAATTTTTCGCTCAGAAAAAAGTGCTATTAGAGGACGGGGCTGTCAGCATTGGAGAGGGAATATGGGATGGAGTAAGATGTGTGAGTGTGTATGCGCTGCATCTAAGCTTAATTTAAGGCCTTTAATTGGACCTGACACTTTTGCCCCAGCCAGTGAAAGTGTGCTCTGCTCATCAACTAAATGCTGTTTTGACAGGGGCATAATCACAATGACGCGCAGGCTGCGATCTGACATGAGGGACCTGGACTAACCTCCTCTAACTTGCCTTTCATTTTAAATTGAAGCAATGTGAAATGAGGTGGCAGATTCTTCACTGATACAGCAGGAGATGAGAAGCGGCGATGTAGGACAGTTTTGGGTTGCTATGGCTCTTACTTCCCAATAGCCCCTCCTCGCTTTCCTCTTTCCTTCCTGTGTTCAGTTTATGCCCCGTCATTATTGCAGCTAATCAGTTTAATTTGGGCAGAGAAGCTGACGCGTTGATGAGGATGGAGAGGTGTTGGATGATCCCCCTGGGCACTATTGATGGCTCGCCATCACACACACCGCTAATGGGGGACCAGATAGACAGCTGGGATGCACACTCTGGCACCTCCAGATGCTACCACTGTTTATTTGTGCCAGTGTGTATACTCTTTATTCTGGCTTACGTGTCTGCACGCATATCTGATCTGTTTGTGTATGGAGAGCACAACTCCCACTCTCACTCCCTCTCCCAACTAGCCTTTGCTTCACTATCTTCCAAAGGGGGTTTCTCAAGTAAGAAATTCTTTCAGAAGATTTTCTGAAAATTTTAAACATAGGCTTCTGTGTCCATATTCAGCTGAATGTGTATCTGCTTGTGTGGTGGCTATTAGCTTTAGCCATTTTAACAAAGATAAATTCATGATTATTTTGTTAGCATTCAGCAACTACAACTCCCATCATATGTATTTTCTATTTTATACAACTTTAATTCCAAAGGAAATATTGTACCCCACTACATTTGTTTGATTGCTGTAGTTCAGCTTAAAAAAGGATGAATTGGTTCTGACTATAGGCCCTGCACACAGGTGCTTGCAGATAATGATGTTGATCCTACCCGCTCAGGTTTACGACACATTTATGCTTCCCATCACCATGTACCAATAAGAATTAGAAAGTTGTAACTTGTCCCACACGAAAACTAACAGGATGGTGACAGAGATGTCAATCCACCCACTGCAGAGTTATAGATGCTAGTAGAACCGCGTCTACCTGAAGAGGGGACAGTGCTTCATTAATTTATTAATACAACATGCAGCTCTGTGCATTCCACATTTAGGTTGTGAGGCGTTCAGGTGTAGGATGTCGCCCTGCATCCTACCACATTAAAGCAGGCCCTGGAACAGGTGCAAGCTCACAGTGTGAATTTAAAGGCTGCTGCCTTCCTGCAAGCCTGGCTGTGCTTATTTATTGATGTTCCCTTCCATGCAAAGACTCTCTCTCTCTGACTGACCACTCCGGCTGCGTTGGTATGGTCTGAGGCCACTCCATGTGGATTCCATTACCACGGAAATCCAAGGGATAAAGACATCTCCCTCCCTTTGTCTTCCTTGGCTTTGTATAATCATTGTTTTCCCAGCTCATCAGCAGCTGGAAAATCCCATTCTCTATTTGCAATGATGATATTATTCCTAGGCTCTGCAGTGTGTATGATGCAAGATAAATTATTGAATAACTGATCTGACAGTAAGTAGCTCCTTTTCACCCCCCTTTGCCATCTTTGTTAATTATTTCTTTTCATCAGATCCTGTTAGGAGATTCTGTTTGATTTTATTATTTACTTACCTTTGTGTTTCTGGCTATAACTGTCTCTTTTTCTGTGCATGTATAGTTGGAGCATAAGAGGTGCTGCTGCAGAACTCATTACAAAGGCAAAAAACCCTCTCTGCTCTATGCAGTATGTGTGTGTATGTGTCTGCTCAGAAAAGACATGTTGTTGTCCCCTCAGTCCTCCTGTCAGTCTAAGCGCTCCTTTCTCTTTCTCTCTCTCTCTCTCTCTCTCTCTCTCTCTCTCTCTCTTTTCGGGTTTCCACTAGAGAAGCAAAGGATAAAATCCTGTCAAATCAGTGTGCCATCGGGGCCACATTATGTTTATTAACTCAAATTTCACAGAGTTTAAGTGACAGTAAGAAACAGCAACTGTGTGACTGTTGCAAGAAGGAAATGCTTAATAATTGGGAAATTAAATGCTTGAAGAGGCTGTATTGCGACAAGCTGCCTCCAGCTAATTTCATCTCTTATCCAGCTCTTTGCCTGCCTCACTCCCTAAGTCCAGTGATCGCAAACCTTCTTGGCTCAGCTCTGCACCAGCAGCAGCCCATTAACTACACCAGACTACAAGATCAAATCAGCCCTAAACCCTGTTAACACAACTTGCAGGCTCAGAAACAGATATTCTGCAATGTATGTATGACTGTCCACCACCAATTACATGGAAATTAAAGACAATAGGGTCCCTGGCTCTTTTTTGCAAGGTTGGATCTCCTGTACACCAAAGACCATAAATTGTATTTCTTTTTATTTACTTCTTGATCTCTTGATCTGTCTTAGGTGTGGTTCGGGTTATTTTGGAAAAATGACAAACATACAGTCAAGTTGCTGCAGTGATATTTGCATTTATTTGGTGAAAACTGGGTACTGAGGTAGCTCAGATGATGTGAGTGAAGAGAGTTGTAGCCTAAAGTACAATATTTTGAACACATGCTTGGTAAGACTGGGATTTTTGGTACCTAATTTTCTTTTTGGCTTTTTGTGATTTAAATGAGATGTTTGTGCACAACAACATACCGGTAGTGTGTAGTAGTAGACAATGTAACTGCATGACTAGAGAGCATGGCATGCTTTTATTGTGCAAATTTTAAGCGGAGCATTGAATATTAAACCAAAGAATTTTATTATTCAATATTTTAAAGTTATCTCTTTCCCGTGAAAAATGTCATTTAGGATGGGGTCTAGAGTTATTTTTTTTAAAAACAAGCAAGCGTCTGCCACTGGGCTGAGGTAATTCTCCTGCTCTCCAACAAAAATCTATTTAATTAAAGACCTCTCTTGACAGCAGTGGAGGTGTCGTATCTGCTGAGTAGTGACTGAAAAGAGTTGAGGACTGAAGAATGAATGACTTGTGAGGATGGGCTTTTGTGAATTATAGTATATTATGTTTGGTCACTGTCTTTGCAATGAATCAAAGCTGGAGTGGCATAAGGTCAGTTGTCAGGGACAGACTAACAAGCAGGCTGAGACATACAGCATTAGGAGGAGTTTGTTCCTAAAGCCCAGAGGATTAGTAATGTTAATAATGGTCTGCCCGGGCTAAATGAAGCCGGACCTACTGATAGGCCAATTAAAGGTTAGCTTGCATTGCATTACCTCAATTTAACCCCATTAGCAATGCAGCACATTGTATGGTGAACTGCTTTTGTGGCTATTAGGGTGCTCATGAGTTGCTGGCGGGGTGTCTTTTGTTCTGCAGACTTTGTGTTGCAGACTGCAACAGTGAGGGCAAGCATTGTATTATTTTTTCGATTTCTGACATTCTTTTGTTAGCTGCTAAAGTTGTTTAAAACTTGCATGCCATTTTTGCATTTCAGTTCTGTTTTTGGCTATAGTAATACAAACTTTAATATATAATATAACTATAATTCACATGTCATGTGTTTGTCTGTGTCCAGGTCTGGACTTCCATGAGGACCTGCATCGTATCGGAGCAAAGGAGGGTCTGAAAGGCCGCAAACTTCAGAAGGCCATGGAGAGCTACGCTTGGAACATCACTGTCCTGAAGGTGAGATGGACTGAACCACACCTGGCATGTGGCCTTCAGCGCAACAAAGACACGGATATTATTTTGAAGACTATAACTAGCTGGATAAGCAATCCCTGTTGTTGAGATTAAACTACATGGTGTCTTAAGATAGCTCTCTGGGCTAATTGTATTTGCCTCCTCTCTAATCCCTAAATCTCTTAATTAATTACTGTTGATTCCAAGTTCTCTTTTTTCATTTGATGTAACTATCTTGACAAGACTTGATAGGATTGTTCACACTCATTTATAGACATAAACATGCTGCTCTGTTAGTCTTCATAAGGGTACATAGAGCCCCCAGGACATGCAGTGAAGATGATGCTCTGTAAAATGCATTCTTGACTCTGACAGGAGGAGATAAGGTTGCCCATTGCCCTCATTGCCTCTATGAACACCACTGGTAATGCCAGCACTGATAAAACACCACACACTGCTCAGACCGTGCTCTGCACAGCGGGCCTGTTTTGCTAAATAAGTACAGAGCAGCCCGGATATTTTTATCTTATCTCATCTCATCACCCTGAAATCATCTAGTATTGAGTGAAGAAGCTCCCCTGGCAGAGCTTTATGCTTGAGTTTGAGGTTAGGTAGATGTTGATTGTTCTTCGCGTTTTCACGTCTATCTTATCAGATTGGTCCATCGATTCTGAAGATTAAAGCTCCAACATAATAAAGATGGCGAATGATAAATCTTTCAATCATTTTCCAGTTACCTTGTTAATAGTTTTGTCTATAAAATGTCAGAAACTGTGAAGTATTACCATTACAACAAGTACCCACAAATCAATGTGACAGATTGCTTGTGTTGTCCGAATAACTTTCAGGATGGATTTAATTAAAAAATTATATAAAACAGTAAATCCTCAAATTTAGGAAGCTGGAAACAACTAGTTGATAAATTACCTCACTAATTAATTGACTATCAAAACTGTTTCCACTAAATTTTTGACTCATTGATTAACTGACTAAACACTTCAGCACTAATAAATGAGTATTTGTGTTCTTGCTTTTTTTCTTGCACTAATGCAGCAGCTGTATGTGCAACAACCGGATTTATCTTAATTAAGCTTCATTGCACTCTCCACAATTGGGAAACGCATGTGCTTAAGTAGCATAACAGATGGACACCTAAACCTAATCCCTGCCTCACCCGCACTCCATATACCCCTAAACTCATCCAACTCCCCCCATCTCGCCTTGTCCCTCTTAACACACACTTCCCTCTTCCTAGTCCTCTAATTTCTTCGTTGAGCCACATTTTTTAACATGAAGGCATCTTGGCATGCACATGACTCTTCCTCCTCTTCCTCCTCCCATTCTTCAATTGTAATTTGTGTTTCATACTGAACATTTGGTGCAAGCCTGGTGCCTGTTTGCCAAGGCTGGCAGCCATGCCCAGTTATTTCACCTGTCAACCTCTCCAGATCCTCAGCAGGCCGGGAAGCTCTCGCTGGTAGATGGTAGGGAAGCTGTGAGGAAGTAAAAGAGAGAGAACTAGTCGTGTCTTCTCTCTGTCTCTCGCTCTCTGATTCCCAAAGTCCCTCTCCACCCTTACTTTGACAGTTGCAGTCACATCAGAGCTGTCATGGTGAATGAGGGTATTTGCCCATTTCTACCAGTGATACCACCCTGTCACTCACTCTATCTTCCTGTCAAGACAAAAGCAAAATCATAGAGACAGAAACAGAGGCTTTGAAGGAAGTGTCACACATATTGTAGCCCTTTTTAAGAAGAATAGCAGACTGTAGTGTTGTTTGAAGCATTTTGGAAGTGGAAACTTATTGAGTCGATAAATTACAGTTTAAGTCGAGATGCATGGCTCTCACTCCTACTCTGGGGTCACATTGCACCTTCTACTGTCTACAACCTTTAAATGATATGCTGACATTTTATCAAAGGGATGGAATGATTATGCTAAACGAGGAGGAGATTAGGGTCAAATTTAATGAAGATATAGTTGATTTGGTGGTTGCCCTTGCTTGGGCTTAGGACCCCGTGGATAGCTTTAGGCCAGCTGTAGGGGTGAACGTACCCGAGTACAAGTGCCGTCGTGATTTGGCTCTGGCAGCATAGGACAGGCTTCCCGCTGTCTTATTTTATGCCTGGTGAGTCATGACTTACATAATTTTAGTATTTTTCAAACATATGACTTATTCATGCTTGTGGTTTGCGTGCTGAAGTGGCTCAGGTAAAAGGCCACTTGCAGCATATTGACATCACCTGGGAGTAGAGCGTTGGGGGCTGTGTGCAAGGGCAGCACCTTTACTCATTCTGCAATATGTCAGACGGCTGTGCCTGCCTTGTGGCACAGGGGAACTTTATCCCTTTTACCATTTACACTTCAGTCTGGTGCAGAACGGGTCAGCCTGTGCCTCTTCACACGGATGTTAACTTAACGAGCTGTCACAGCGGGTCAGACGGAGTCCAGCGTGAAGTTCAGTGGGAGGGAGGGGAAATATGTAGATTCACAGATGAGAAGGCAACTGCTTTCAACTTGCTTGTGAACAGATGTTGGAGGGATGGTGGTGTAAAGAACATGTTGGAGAGAGAGAGGATGCTGTGGCAAGGAGAGGCCTGAGGGGAAGAGTCAGGGATTTAAAGACTATAGAAGTGGAGAGAGTTTGTAAAAGCATGTGGTCAGATTTCTTTTTCTTTTTTTTTCTTCTTTTGGCCAGTTCTAATAATATAAGCACCTCTCAGACACAGAAATAACCGCCTGTGGAGAAGACTGTACCACATTTCCACATGGCAGAGACAGTTAGCTGAAGGAGGCAGGCAGCCATGGCAGTGGCCCAGATTGACTTGACAGTGCCGTAAAGCAGGAGGCCTGCCCTGACCACTTCCTCCACATATGGCAGGGATTCATCTCTGGGGTGCTCCCAAATAAAGAGCAGAAATGTAGTATAAGATTATCACCATATGACAGTACTATTCACCAGCTGAGAGGAGCAGTAAGAGGGGGCTGGCAGGCAACCAAAGGCCTTTGTTCAGTGGCTTTATACTGCCCCCTTCAGCATATTATTAGTTAATGCACTCAGGAAAAAATATTCTGATGCCACCAGATTTGTTCCCACTTTCATCTTTTTGAGACCTTTGAGATTAAAATCAAAAGAGGCCAGGCCAAAAAGGTGGAATAGAACTACATTATGCTATCTAACTAAGATAAAGCAGCCGTGTTTTCTTCAAATCTGATATTATTATGTGTTGTTGACTGTGTGTTGTTGACAAAGCGGTCTCCTTCTGTCTCAATTTCAGGGCCAGGCAGACCTGCTGAAGCACGCTAAGAGCGAGTCACTGGACACTCTGCGCCAGATCCACTGTGCAGCTCAGTCCTGTGGTCTCAGTAAGAACGGAGCATCTTCTCCCCAGCTCCAGCACCATCCTCACCACCAGCCACAGCAGGTCCAGATCCAGCAACAGCCTCAGGCCAAGGCCCACCCACAGCCCCCGCCACTGCACCAGTCCCAAACTCAACCCATATTCCAGACAGCACCTCAGGCTTATCTCCATCCCCTTCCCCAGCAACATCCCCAGCTACCAGCTCTCCCTTTGGTTCAAACTGTTTCAAAACCTCCGGCCTATCCTCAACCCCCTCCCATACCCCAGTCCCAGTTCCAGAGCCAGCAGCAGAGGGCCGCAGGCCCTCTGGACGCCATCCCTGAGAAAGAGATGGTCGGTGACAATCCTGCGGGATCCTGCTGACCCGCAGCCTGTGCCCACAGAGAATCCTACCCAAAGAGAGACAGAGAGAGCGAGATAGGGATGCAGAAGCAGATAGGTGTAGAAGAAAAAAAGGAAGCCGGTAACGAAAGGGAGATGGAGGAAATGGCAGAGAGAGTCAAAGAGATGATGATGGTGAGGAGGACTCGTCGTGTTAGAAGTGAGACACAAGTCTGAGAGGATGTGTGAGTTGGCCAGAGCACTTAAGGAGAAAAGGAGAGACCTCGCGCTTCAATCACACATTTCTAAACAGGGTGGGAAACTGGAAAGATAACGTCTACTTTTCTAGTGGATTTGGAAGAAAATCTTCCATCTGAGCCAAGAGGTTAAGGTCTCCTCCGTTTTCTCTCTTGTTAAAAGCCAAAAGGGTACCAGCTGGTAACAAACCTCTGCTATGTGTTTTTTGCATAGGAATATATTAAGCGGTTGGATCAGTGAGTTAGATATGTCTCTCTCTGGGCAGTTCTAGTTACATGCCCCTCCACTATTTCGGTACTCTAGCTCTGTGGGTACAGGCTTTACCTCACATTGGCATTTTCTGCCACATTTCTTGCCTTTTCATTTCAGAGACTCCTTGGCTTGTCTTTGTTTTCTTCATGCTTACACTCTTCCTCTTCCATCTTAGACATATAGCTAAGTTCAAATCCTCACTCTTTTCAATGAAGAGGATGCCATCTTCATTTTAAGTGCACAAAGTAGAGCAGCTTGTCTAGGCTGAGCTCTGTAGGAGTCACAACCACAAACCAGGGAGCTGTAAAGCTTCAATACAAAAACAAACTGCACCTGTTCATTTGTTCAGTCACATCGATGCATCCCTTGCTGGTGTCAATCTCCATCGAGCCCCCACACATCTCCAGTGTCATTCCTTAGGATTTAAGTTCAGGGGTCTCCTTGTCTCCTCCCCAGGGGGCTGTGTGTGTGTGTGACGTTACGTGAGTTGGTGTTTTGGTCCCCAGGGTGGAGCTAGCCCACGTCCGTAAGTGGCACAGCTCCTCAGCCAATCACAACTGGAATATTTGACCCTGCCTGTTAGAGGTCAAAGGTCAACAGGAATATGGTACTGCTGTCAATAAAAACAGAATAAAGTGACTATAGATGTAAACTGTATGTAAATGTACGAAAGGAACATATATTGCTATAATAATTCTTGCAGACACGGATATTACTGATTGATATTATAATAATTGTTGTTAGTTCTATTGATATTCTGATTCTTTTTTTAACATTACTTCCACATTTACAGTGATTTGACACCTGTTGTTCTGTGGTGCAGATCAGGACAACCAGTGCATGTGGGACTGGAATGAGGGATTACGGGTTAGCGCCACAACACAAGGGTCAAACAATAACCTGACGTGTGTTTCACTGCAAAGTGAGTGTGGATTCTGTAAAAGCTCCTTTAAGTGGCCCATTAAAAACTGGCTTCATTGTTTAACCTGCCTGCTCTCTTTCATTTATCTTTAATGACTTTGATGTAAAAATATGCCTGCTTCATAATTTGACATGAATTTCAGCAATGTATCAACCTGGAGTGACATTTTACTGAGAATGCTTTAGTTACGCAGGGTTCAGAGAATCACTATGAGTGAAGAGACTTTTTTTGAGTGCATTCAAAAAGCTGTTGCTAGCCCTTTAGAGCATTTTGAAAGCAGCTTTCACAGTGAATCTAAGGCAATCAATAAAGCCTTCCAAAAGCTTTATTGATTGCTTTTGATGCACTGTGATGCGCTGTTAATTCTCCTGATGTAAAATTATTTTCTTATCAACAAACAAGAAGTAGGCCGTTTGTTGTATCACACACGGTTGTCTAGTTAAAGCAATGCCCCCTGTTGTCCATAAGATGGCAACAAAGATTAAGTAAATGGCATTGAGGATGAAAGGATGAAAAACAACAATCTGAAAGTCAATAATAGCGTCTGAGTGATGTTATGTTGACTCATAAGAGGGCCAGTATTCTACAGTTTAGAAAGCAGATCAGGGTGGGAACAGGGTTGTATGTAAGTGTTACTGGCTACGCAAAAGAATATTTCTAAAGGCCTCTGTTTTTTTTTCTTCAATTAAAAATCATCCTACTTCAGCTTTTGGGTTCTGGTTCAGCCGTGGGCCCATCAGCACTGTTGACATGGCTAGTGAACACTGTAGCGTGGGAGCAAGAAAGACTGTTCTGCATGTGCCAATATGGTACCTTTTGTATGAGACAATAAAGCACATAGAATCTCATTAGCATGACTTTTGAATGAGCTTGTCTTTGTAACTGAGAAAGGGCATCTGGGCTGTTTCTATATTTATATCTTAGAACTCATAGAACACATTAGCTAATTAACTTCTGTCCCTCACAACTCATTAGAATGGTATGTAATCATGAACCTTTGGCATGCGGCCACAAAGAAAATACCTCCAGTTCATCAAAGGTCCAGAGAAGTGCCTAGGAGATGATCTCCCACAAGAGGCTAATTAATGGCAGCCAGCAACCCTTCAAATGAGAAAGGAGCAGAAACAAGAGAATTTGTGGTTTTGTGTCATGTTTGTGGTTGGCCTGAATGACGTCCATCGGTGTGGACATCACCAGAGATATAAAAGACAGTTGTTCTTCCCCTGGGGAGATGAGAAAATTAGATGACTCCCCTTCATACAAGCCAGAAGATGACGTGGTTCCGCGCTAACTTCCAGAAAGCTACTGGGATGGACACATCTAACAGGGTAAGCTCGAGTTTGATTTTTTTATTTAAAAAGTAGTGGAAAAGATATTTTTTGAAAGTGCAAATTCATGGTTTTAAAAGTTTCTTAAGGGAGGTTACTCATTCATGAGTTTATAAGATGGGTTTTTCTCCAGACTCATTTTCTATAATATTTTCTAAGTATTTTGATAGATTTGTTGTGTGTTGTCATTCTTAAATTTATGTGAGAAAACTTAATGCATTTGTTATGAATATTTGTGTAACCTGAGCATTTTACACCTGATATTGTTTCACTCTGTCACTGAGACCCTATGGAGCACGTTCACATGGTGAAAACGACAGTTCTTGGGTTGGGAACTGTAGGGTATCCTGACAAAACTTCTTTGGGACAGACTTTTCGCTTTTCAGTTACTTTCCAAAACTGGAACATTTTTACAAAAACTTCAAACACTTTCTGCGGGGTAATCAGGCATGTACTCATGGGTAATCAATGTCTTTACATAGGAATATATAAATATTTATATATATTATTTATATATATAAATATATAATATGTGTCCAGAACTTAACCAGATTGCATGTATGTACATATATGTATAATGTACATTTTCAATGATGCATTCACTGCATTCCATTAGATTAGGATGATTTTATTTATGCAATGTTACTTTGACTAGAGATTAAGGTTTTAGCATGTATAGGTGGAATTAATGTCAGTATAATGAGTATGATGTAGATGCAGTGATTCATGGATTTATGCATGGGTAAATAATTGTGCACAGTACCATTATCCCAACTGCTGGTCATGGTGATACTCTCTGCATCAATGTCAGTATCAACTTATTGGAAATGCAGTGATTCATATTCTTTATGGATGGGAGATTGCATGTCCATCTTTGATTCACTCCAATGCATCAATCAATATTAAACATATTAAGCAACATGTTAAGCATATTGTCAGTAACATATAAAACAATTAATATTTACACTTCCAACACATGCAGATAAAGAATTCTCTTTTAAAAAGTGTTTTAGGCCTACAGATTGTATTCTTGTATCAGTTCATTTGGGCGTAAACTCATCTCTTTTGCCCAGCAGAAAGTCCTGGTGCTGGTTTTGATGTTGTTGCTGTCTCAACTGGCCTGTGATGCTCACAGTGTGTCCGAGTGCTGCAGACAACCATCTCGCTCCTGTCGCCTCTATGTGTTGCTGTGTCGCTCTGGCAGCAAGACCTTTGGAGGACCTCTCACAGGAGATGCCGCCGCTGGCATCCTCACTCTTGGTAAACGGAAAGAGAATGAGGATCGCTTGCAGAGTCGCCTCCATCAGCTCCTCCATGGCTCCAGGAACCAAGCAGCAGGGATTCTGACTATGGGGAAGAGGACTGAAGAGAGGGCTGGAGAGCAGTACATGGACTGGATGGCTCGGTCAGGAACTACCATCGCGACGCCCCTACCTGTTTTAAGTTAAACAGTAGTATAAGCATAGTGGGACTTTTAAAATCTAGTTTAAAAAAATAATTTTGTGATTTTCTTTGAACTGTGCCTTTTTGAATGTGATATGATGTGCTTTTGCAGATAACATTATGAAGATGTGTAATGTTGTACATATGTAAAACACCTTGTGGTGTAATAAAAAATATATAGCTGACATCATGTCTTTAATCATTCTTGGGTAGATTTGTGGGGCAATGTATGTATGTATATGTGTATAGATAGATAGATAGATAGATAGATAGATAGATAGATAGATAGATAGATAGATAGATAGATAGATAGATAGATAGATAGATAGATAGATAGATAGATAGATTTTATCAATCCCCAAGGGGAAATTGAGTCTTCATAGCAGTCAGGTACATTGAAATACATTAAAAATACAATAGAATAAGATACATGTACATATATTTATATACAAACATTGAGAGAGAGAATGAGAGAGAGATGGCCATTCCAAAAGTAATAAAGTAATAGCAGTGTTATCAATTGGCTCTTCTTTCAAACATTATTAGTACTGAGTATTCTCACAGAATCTAATCAAAACTACACAATCTAACTGATGATGAACTACATGAGTACATGAACAATAATTACTTACAAAGGAAGTAAGAAGGAAAACAGAAATTATTATCTTACAAATTATATTTAATATGATATTACTTATTCAAACAGTAGGGAGTGTATGAAAAATATTGGATGGGGGGGGTAATATTTCTTTTTGATGAAGGGAGGGTAATTGGATTGTTTTGGGAGAGCAAGGCAATGTCTTTTTCCTTGACCCAGAATTATATTTCATTTCATTTTGTTGTGTGTGAGATTTACTGAAGTAGATAGACTAAGTAGATAAAAAATTCCCTTTGTTCACAGAAGATAATCCTGCCTTTTACCATATGCCGAGGAAAACTTTCATGTCTCTGTATCTGGTCAGTTTTGAGAAACAGTAGATGGATCTCTCTCTCTTGGTAGTAGGGAATAAACATTATTACTCTGAAGGGCATTACATTGTTTCACTTGATTCAAAAAAATAAAGAAGCACTACAGTAACAGTAAAAATTGTTAGTCCATCAACACATTCAACGTGAAATTGCTTGAGTTGGGGTTTTAGAGGGCGAGGGTGTTGCACTTTTTTCTCAGGAAAAGGGAGGGTTCAAAGCAAATACATGATCCAATCCCCCTCCCCACCCCAATAATTTGTGTGTTGACCCTTGCACTGAATCAAAGCCCAGCATCTCAGCTCACACCCAAGAGCCCATCATAGTGTGGGAATAAAGAGGACCACAAGATGGTGCTGATATGATAAAAAGTGAGAGAGCTAGTGATACGAGTGACAGAGCTGATGTCCTATCCAATAGGATGCCTATGCTTCTTTTGTAAAAGATATAAATATATTTGTTCTATTTCTGTTTGCCCTGACTCATGTGTGGTACTCTGTAAACAAAATTGAGTGTCTGTATTTGCACTTGCTAACCAAGATATTCAATTTGATTTAAGAACAATTGTTGTTTAAGCCTTACATAATAAATAATCCTTGGGGTTCAAAACATTGCACTTTTAATGCACAAGAACACTGTGAGAAGAATATTATTATTCATACTGCAGGCGTTTTTCATATTCCCTCTCTCCGTCAAGCAATTAATTTTGTTAATTTTCCATCAAGGTTTGTATATCTGTTCATCAAGTTCCTCTCAGATGTCTGAAATGGCACCTTTGTGTTTTAAAATCTGCCTTTTTAAATTTGAAAATAATCACGATTTTCATGTTGAATAGACCCAACTAACAAAGACTAGTTTCTGCCTGGGGGTGTTTTATGATGCTGAATGAAACTTTCTGTTCCTGCCCACAGGGTAAATGGATAAAATAATCAACAGCTACACATTGCAGAAAACTATTGAGAATCTGGGATTACTGTAGCTGCTGTGGAAACGTTCCTGAATAAAGTATCTAGCATAGTATCATGTAGCAGCTGCATGATACCCACACTTACACACGTTTGTGTTTGTTTCTTTTGGGTACATTTTTATTGATTTTCCTCTCCTGGACCTTCCACTAATCCCTGTGAGAGTAGAAATTATTTTATTTTACACAGTGCTGATTGAAATTGCCGTGAATTCAAATTAAGGCGAGCCAGATTTGTTTTAGACAGCTGTCTGACTGGGAACTCAGTTCTGCAGCTACAACACATTGCGGAGTAGGACCGCTGCTCAGCAACACATTGTCTCAAGTTATTTTACCATAGTTATTAGATTACTACTACTTCTGTTGGCTTTAAACGTACTTTAAATCTAACAAAATGACTCTTATGTGGATCAGTATGTGACCAAATATTTTTCAGTTTCATGCCTTTGATGTGAAAACTAACACCATTTTTAATAGGCTCTTTTTTCTACCTTTTCATGGATAAGATTTTAATCACCTATGCATGTAAGAAATGTCAGGTCTCAGTGGATGTGTGATTGTGCACAGCTTTACACGCCCATCTGGAACATGGAGGAAAGCACTAATTGACAAGGGTATACAAGAACCAGTGTGTGTTTTTCTTTAGAAATGCCATCAGTGGGTTTGTGCCTGAACATTGGCTTATACTGCAGCAACTATCAGTGTTTTTGTGTGTGGGTGTTTGTTTATGTACCCTATAGGTAGCAAAGAAAATGTGTTATATGTGGTAAAACAGACAGCAGGCTGATCGATCATTCAAGCTGCTGACGACATCGGGCTTAGCAGTGGATTTACTGTAGTGTCATTGATCCAGACAGTGTATCATCATTCAGAGTGGCTGTTTTTTTTTAACCTGACCTCTGACCTCTATGCATTCATTGAAAAGCAGAAGAAAAGTAAAAATATACACTCCTTCTGGACAACAGATTAATGATTCGACAGGCAACAAAGCAGCATCTTCTCGCAATAAGGAGTTTCAGGAAAGACACAGAGGTAGAGAGATGATGAAGTGATTTCTAATAACTTCTCTGGGGAGTGAGAAGTAGGTGGATGCACATTTTGTATGAGAAAGAGAGAAGGTGAGAGAGATAACTAATAAATAGTGTGCGGAAAGGGGGATGGTACAGGCTTTTGTATGAGAGACAGAGGGAGGGAGAGAGAGAGAGGCAAGGGACTCGGAGATGGCAGGAACCATGGTGAGTGGAGTTAGACTGAGGGAAGAGAAGCTGAGGCTTTGCTGTGATACTGGAGTGGTGCTGAGAGCAGAGGGATGCGCAACTGAATCCGAAAGCTCTTGACTCAATACTGAGAGAGAAGCTTTAGAGAACAACAACATCTGCGAGCTCTCTTACGAAGAACAAATGATATTTCTGTGTGATGCAAGTTAGTGGGGTTTTTTTGGACAACATAACATAGAAACAACTTGCACTCCATTCAAACGTTGTGGAGGAGTTGAAAGCAGGCACGACCGTGGTTTTCTTTCAGGTTCTCTTTGGGGAATGGCGACAAACTAATGGGAACTGTAGTCTGCGAGTCTGAAGCCTTATCTTAATATAGTACAAGATGCCTGTGATGAAGGGCCTCCTTGCACCACAAAACACCTTCTTGGACACCATTGCAAACCACTTTGATGGCACTCGTGAGTATATTTTTATGTTTATTTTGTACCCTACAATCAACCTAGCAAATAGTCTTGTATGATTTGTAAAAAGAAAATTAATTAAATTGTAAAAAAATTAAATAAAGAATTACTACATTGCATATGTTAATGTTAATAGGCAGTATTTTAAGATTGCAGGTTAAATTTAATTTGTCTAATTTAATTAAACCTAAATGGTAGTCACTGTGTTTTAAACTTTTTCTTCAGAGATACACATTATTAAATTAAAATCAGAAAGAAATTTGTCTCAGTTTCGAAGTCTATGAGCTAAGCCCACTGTAGCTTTTAGGATTTTAGCCTTTGGCATTTTTGTAACCCACTTTAGGATTGTGACTGGCACTGAAAAACACCGCTGTCGACAAATGTGTCAACAGTAGTGAGATCCAATTATAAGAGTGCAACTTACGACAGTAAACCAGAACTGGAGTCCGTCTAGGATGATATAATGGAACCGATAAGCCACTTGTTGAGATTTTTTCAGTCAAGTTCTCTCTTTAAAATGAACAAAGAAATATTAAATGGTATCTTTCAACAGCAATATTAAAGGCTGTAGAGCTTATGTTTGTTATCTTTCCTCCAATTCAAAATCTACTATATAAATAATACTTTATCCACATTCTTGCCTGAGAATTTCTGCATGTTTTCTGCAGGTTTTAACCTTTTCTCACATATTCTTCTTCAACATTACACTTTAAAACATTCAATACCTTATTTTTGTGGCAGGACAGTCAATTGCATTTTGTTTTTGTTTTTTCTGAGTTTAATATTTGCTTTGTACATCATTTTGGTGCTGTGCATAGGGAACATGGTGGCAAGGTGGCAGGAGAGGTGCAACAAAATGCAAGGTGCATGCATATGAGGCAACGGAGGTGTTTATATTTTGGTGGAAATTGTTGCTGCTGAAAATAGACGTCTCAATCTGGACCAGATCTGTTTCAGCACAGTTTCACTCATTTAATAATTATGTGATTCCACCAGCAAGCACAGATTACAGATAATTACAGAATTATACTAAATACTAAAACAAATGAAACCCAAAACATTTTAGACCTGAAAAAACAAATCTTACTTTAAGAATCTAACAAATTTTACTCACCAACTTTTGCCTTTTTTACTGTTATTTTTCTTCAGATATTGCAGATATCTGTATACAGATATCAACTTTTAATAACTCCACAAATGTAAATTCAACTTTAAAAAAACACATAAAATCCAAAGTGGTTCCACAACATTACTTTCCTATTTGTAGTTTCCTTGTTTTATTAAGTCTTTTAACTCCAAATAACCTTTTTGCGGCACCTGAATATAATAGTAGATGCACTCAGATACACACTCACCAACCTTAAAATGCATTACCTATGCTGGTCTGTGTTATTGCATTAACATAGAGCCTAACAGTTAGAGGGTGGTTGTTTATCTTCATGCTTCAACAGCAATGAATGTTTATTTATTATGTTCGTTTATGGTTTGCTCCTGCCAGTCCAAGTCTGTTAGTGTGCACCATGCCTCAGAATCAAAGTAGAAAGTCATCAGCATGCACTGGACAGCTCTTTCAAGA